TTCCCGTGAATACTTGCGAATTATGAAGCACTCATTTGTGTCCATCTTAGCTGCTCTAAAGCGCCAATTGCAACTGTCTTCGATGCAAGCAACTGTCAACAATGACTTGTTTAATTTCTTTACCTCGAACTCAAAGTTATATTTTAATATCAGTCGGTGCACAGCTTCCTGCAAATCTTTCTTGGTTTCAAACAGTTGCTCGACCTGCAAGTCCTCATCATCGGGAGCCACACAGGAAGAATTCGAGGACGGTCCACTTGTTCCAACCTGTGAGCTCCCACCAGGCTCGTGTCTCTGTCGAGATAAAGCAATCAAATTCTCATTTGTAAAGTCGTTTATGTTCTCATTGTCTTCAACTGTTGACGGAATTCTGCGCATAACAGCGACATCAGAAGCAACTGTCTCAGGAATACCCACATCATCCGCAAGAACTATCTCCACTGTCTCCCAAAAACCTCGATCATTGTTATCCTCCCTATCCGAATCTTCACGTTCACCTTCGATAACATCCTTCGTAATTAAAGTCACACCAAGAACAGTCGGAGTCCGATGCATTTTATTCAATTCTAATAGATAATTCAATTCAGCATCATTAGTAACGAATACCGATGGCATCGGAATGGATGAATCCCCATAACCATTGAATAGATATCTCAATTGCATATCGTATTGAGATTGATCGACATTCAACTTATTTTGCAAATCGTGGTACATTTCTAAATATGGTGCACTCTCTATTACAGGAATTGCAATACAACCACGTATGTCACTCGTCCATCTCCATTCCCACCGATTATTTTCATTCAATTCGAAATCACCGAAATAACACACGGGGATTATCATATCTGCATGAGGAAATGGTTTTAATCAACTTCAAATATTAATTATAAGAAAGGAAAAGGCAAAAAATCAGCTGCAGCCCCGGCTGTAAAAACAGTCGGCTGTTGGATGTTTAACAGCTGCAAAAACAGTCGGCTGTTGGATGTTTAACAGCCGGCTGTTAAACATCCAACAGCCGGCTGTTTTAGACTGTTTGTTAAGCTAAACCAGTTTGGCGTAGGAGAATACCATTCTAAAAACGATATTAAGCATGCGTAATTTAAACGTAAGTTATATATCCGTTTAATTTTTTTTTTATAGGTTCTGTTAAAAAAAATCTATGTCGACATAAAATTTCTCTATTTAAACGTATACTAATTTTACTTAAAACGAAATTAAACATGATTAAATGTACTTACCGATTTGAAGTAATTGATGTGAAAAAAATTTTCAGCTTCAACGTTCCAAAGTTCTTCTAGATTTTGAGGTTCAAGCAGATGAAAAGATGAGAGTTTTTTCTGTGTTGGAAGCTCGTTTTGAAGTTTTTATAAGTGGGGAAATGTTTGGTTTTCAATTATTAAGTAAAAGGGTAGTATAGTCCTTTCAACAATATATGGTTTTGTAATTGTACAAAACATTTAAGGGTATCTTTGTCTTTTACCATACAAGAGGCCAATGTCATAATATTCATTATTTTGGAAGTCAAACTGAAATTTTACTCCTTTGACCGAGTCAAAATTAAAAGTACCCCGACTGTAGAGTCCATTTGGTTTGCGTTTGGAGGCTATTTTCAATTTTCAATATTCAATTTTCAATTTTTTATAACATTTAAAATGTACTAGTTAACATTTAGGCCCTGTTTGGTAGGGATTTTTTGTCCCAAAAAATTGATTTTTTGACCGTTATTTTACTATTCAAGCCGTAATTTTTGAGTTCTTCTCTCACATGTGGACCCCACTTTTCTTCTAACGGCCAAAAAATCAATTCTCAAAATTCCTACCAAACGGGCCCTTAAGGCGAACCACCCGGCGTCCCACCGACGCTATTCCATAGCTAGAACTCTTCAACTGAATCATTTGGACCTTTCTTGAATTTCCTTTCCGCCTGCGACTACGTTCACCTACTAGAAATCATATCTGCTTCCATGGTGACGTTTTGTCGCCTTTCCTTTCTAGGATGCTCTCTTCCGTCCTTCGTTGCCTGCGCAACCCCGACTTCGCCTTCTGCTTTGCCTGTGTCGACACGATAACCTTCATTACCACACACATCACAAAATCCCCGCCATTCTCAAGCCCCTTGTAGATATTATTTTGAATGAGTAAGACCATAGCTCGCAGATTGATGCTTCACTTTGCCTAGCTATCGCAATGGAGGAGGTGTAGGAACCAACACGATGGAGCTAAAAACGCTGTTGCAAAGGCTGTCGAAAACATTGTGAGCATTGGTGCTTGTTCTTTGATATAATAAGTGAGAGTTGTGAATGAGAAAATGAATTGGGCTGTAGAGATTTGGAGAGATGTTCTAGTAGGAGGTGGGGTGTGGGGGTGGGTGTAGGAAGGAGAAGATGAACAGTAAATGACCTTTGATTTTTTGTTTTTTGTTTTTTTTTTAATTTTAATTCAAAATTACAATTTTACCCCTTCTAAAATTGGTCAAAGTCAATTTATTGGGTCAACTAACGATCAAACTAATAGAAACCATCCATTTGGACCTCAATTGCACATTTTTTAAAGATTTGGTACTCATGGTAGCACAAATGAAAGTTTTGGGCAAAATCTGCTAATAAACGAAAGGTTTGGTACCTTGGTTGCAATTTTCCCTAACAAACATTTTTAAAATTTTTAAACCAAACGTACATTCTAGTTTTTTGTTTTAAGAAACAATTTTTCATAATGAATAATCCCTCGAACTAGAAAACATAAAATGAATTCAAAAACTAAAACATAAAACATAAAAGCAAAGAAACCCGTCCTTAACTTCGTGAAATATAGAAGAAACATGTGTCAAATAATTTATATTTCAAAAAATAATAATAATAATAATAAATTTTACTAAGGTTAACTTACATATATTCTCCTCAGCCTTGTGTCCCAACCTTTAATAAATAAGAAGACTGCCCCCAAATAAGGTTTCCGGCTAAATTTTAAGGTAAAATTGATATAAAATGATAAAGTTACCCTCAAATTTAAATAAAAAGAAAAAGAAAAAGGTTTCAATCCATCTTCTTCAACCCTAACGCCCTCTCACCTGTCCATTTCTATCTCAATCACACACATCCGATCACTATGGCTCGAGTTAGTAGCATTTAGCGTGCAGACAACAATTTAATATTAAGGGCTCGAGAAATTGGTGGGGATTTAAAAACAATGTTGACTTATTCATTCCCACACACTTCGTTTTAGGCTCGAGTTAGTAGCATCTAGCGTGCAGACAACAATTTAATATTAAGGACTCGAGAAATTGGTGGGAATTTAAAAACAATGTTGACTTATTCATTCCCACACACTTCGTTTTATCCAGTCTCTATTTGAGCTTTGTTGAGAATATATTGTTAAAAATTAGATAAATATTGTTTGGCCTTATTTATTTTCAAAATATTTTTTTCTCTCTTATTTTTAAGGGAGGGTTGGTAAAATAGCCTAGTCAACCCATGTACTTGGTTAAATAACCTTAATGTGTTCTTAAATAAATGACTTTCAATTATAAAATACAATAGATAAACAACGTTAAATGTCATAAATATTCCCACCATTGAAAAGACGTTAACACCCTTATCTACTCATTTAAATCCCCAATTCAATTTTAGGGCCCCAAAATCACAACCAACGGTTTTCTTCTCTTTGTCTTTCGTGATTCCTACAATAAAGTCACATTCTTTGTTATATTCTTCACCTATTTTAAGTATCTTTTGGACATTTGAATACTACTTTGGTTACCACAATATCGACATTAAAATTTTAGTTGCATTTGAAGAGAGAAGAAGTGTATTTTTACAAAGCTCATTTACATTATACTTTTATTATTGAATATAACATGGAATGATATTTTAGAACTAAGTAATTTTCGTATTTACTGTATATTTGTGTTTCTACAACTATTGAATGATAACAGTACTCCAGCCATTATATACAATGTAGAACGACACTAAAATTGTTATATTAAAAAATAGAAATATAACTATTATCTGATATGTATAACTTAAATGAGTCCAACTTATTGTTTTTCAGGATACGAAAGAGACGTGATTATTTATAATCGTGTTTAAAAATAGAATGACACAAGAGTCATTTTCTTTTTGGTAACGTCACTTGTGTCGTTCTGTTGATTTTTTCTATATTTTCATTTGTTTCCAATACAACGATTTCAAGCATTGGACCCTTAACACATGTAAGACATAAACGTTGATACGTGACAAAGGACGATTGAAATGACATAAATTATATGACATAAGTTGATGAATGCATAAATGTTTCTATTATTTTCATTAGAATATAAGTAATAGGCATATGTCTCAACTTTTATAAATGTTATTTCCATTTTACAACTTAAATGAGTTTAACTTATTATCTTTCGAGGCACAGATGTGGCATGCCTACTTATAATCGTGTTTAAAAATAGAAAGACACAAGAGTTGTATTCTTCTCAGTAACTTTGCTTGTGTCATTTAGGTGATTTCTTATATATTTTGATTTGTTTTCAACGCAACAATCTCAAGTATTGGATTTCTAACGTACATAAGACATAAATGTAGATCACGTCACAAAGAAACAATTGAAATGACATAGATTATATGATATGGAGTTGATGAAATAACATATGATTCTATTATTTTATTAGAATAAAGTAATGAGCATATCTCTCGATTTTTCTAAATATCAAGTCCATCTTATAACTTAAATAGGTTAGAATTATTAATTTCATGGGTATGGATGGAATATGGTTGCTTTATAATTATGTTTACAAACAAAACAACATAAGGGCTATTTTTTCTTAGTAACGTCACTTGTGTTGTTTTGTTGATCTCTTATATATTTTGATTTGTTTCCAACGCAACGATCTCCAACATTGGACCCCTAACACTAATAAGATGAAAATGTTAATCAATGACAAAAAATGATTGAAATGACATAAATTACATGATATAGAATTGATGAAAGCACAAATAATTCTATTGTTTTCATTAGAATATAAATGATGAGTACGTTTCTCAACTTTTGTAAAATGTCTTGTCCATCCTACAATTTAAATGAGTTCAACTTATTATTTCTCGGGGCACGAATGAGCATGACAATTTATAATCGTGTTTATAAACGGAACAATGCAAGGATCGTTTTCTGCTTATTAACAACACCTGCGCCATTTTGTTGATTTCTCATAATTTTGGATAAATTATATACGAGAAATGTTAACATACGACAAAGAATGGTTGAAAGGACATAAATTATTTGACATTGAGTTGGTGAAAGCACAAACCATTCTCGTACATTTCTCCTACATTTTTAATAGGCGGGATTGCTTTTACTTAAATAATGACACTTGTTCCATTTTCATTTGAGCAACGACACATGTTTGTTCTCATGGACACTTATATTTACGAATATAACAACACTTGTATCGTTTTCATAGACATTTTTCATCTCAACAACGACATTTGCTTCCGTTCTCATGAAAGTTTGTAATAAACATAACGACACTTGCGTTGTTCTTATTTCCCTTTTATAAGTTCGGTAACGGCACCTATATTATTCTCGTGGACACTTATATTTTCTAATAACTTCACATCTTTTGTTATCATGGTATAACAACAAACTAAAAAACATGTATAAGTGAAACGCAAACATTTAACTTAAAATGCATTAACAAAAACGTAAGAAAACTCAACATAACGACACTTATTGAATGTCGTAGCATTAAAAAAATCAAAATGTAGAAAAAATCAAGAGAAAAACATAAGTGTCGTTATCGAAATGAAAATGACCCTTGTACCATTATATGTGTAAACAACAACATACGCAGCCGTGTCTTATCTATACCCCGAGAACTAATAAATGGAACTCATTTACGTTATTTATAACATGATCAAACTTTCTACATTACATATGTTAAGGAAATCCATTATTAGAGATTGTTTTGTTGCAAAAATCAGATATATGTGAAAATTTCGGAACGACAAAAGTGTTGTTACTAGATATGAAAATAGCATTTGTACTGTTATGTGTATAAATACAAGTATAAGTAGTCACGCCCATTCGTACCCTGAAAAATAATAAATGAAAATTATTTATGTTGTAATATGCACATGACATATACAAAACTTGACAAATCATTAACTTAATCGACACATATGAGTAAGATGATCTGTGCTTTTACCATCTCAATAATATAAAAGTTGTATCATTTTCAATCGTTATTTGTGACTAATTAATCTTGTCGTGTTATATACATTAGTGAGTCCATTATTAGAGATCATTTCGTCGATACTAAAACGGATAACGATTGTAGTATCATGTGACATTGTAGATAACGGTTGAAGTGGTGTTCTATATTTGATATGGCAATTGGTGTGCTATTATCATCCAATGATTGAAGACAAATAAAAAAAACACTAAACATGAAAACAATATCAACTAAATGTTATTTAATAATAAAAATACAGCTTTCATGAGATTTCTAAGAGTGGACTTCTATTTTCTTTAGATGTAAATGTGATTTTCCAATGTTTATGATATGCTAACTAGACTTATGTTCAAATACTCAAAAAATACCAAAAATAAGTGAAGAATATAATAAAGAATATGATTTTAGGGTAGTTAGAAAAGTAACTAAAGAGAAGAAAATAGACGATCGTAATTTTGAGAACCTAAAATTGAAAAAAATGAAAATGAAAAGATGTTATTTTTCCAGTGAATTTGGAGGAGAAATGACATGATGAAATGACGAAGATTAGAGGTTATTGAGTTAACAACTAAAGGTATTTTTATTATTGGTTAAAAGCCATTTCACCAAATATATTATCCAACCAGGACAAATGGCCAAATTCCCCCTATTTTCAAATATACATTTTTCAATAAAATAATATTACGTATAAACTCAAAACTTTTCCTTATTTTTAAACTGCACATTCTCCATCAAAATATTATTTCAAAATACATTTTAAGCAAAATAATGAGGCTCAACAAGCTGGTAAAATAGTTTTATTGGAATTATGTGTGTTAAAAATGAGTTTGAAAAAAAAAAATCAATTTTTCATTTCAACAAAAAATAAAAAAATAAAGTCGACTTCGATTTTCAAATTAACCCCCAGATCTCATGTATCAAGTTACTGTTTGTGCTTTAAAGCTATTGCTGTAGGCCAACGTACAAAAACATCATGCAACAAATCCAACCTAAGATTTATTGTTTTGAAATCAATGAACTCGAGTTTCCACAACCAACCGGGTAGACAGCAAAAGTTCATATGATCATTGAGAGAGAGAGAGAGAGAGAGAGAGAGAGAAGTAATTGTAACACAATAACAATTCAACATATAATTCTTGGGTCGTATCTCCAATAAAAACATAACCAAACGCAGCAGATAAAGCGTTCTCGAAACAAAGGAAAATAGAGTTATTAAGAGGCATCGGCTGCAGGTTGAGTGACTCCAAACTTCACTAACAACTTGCTCAAGGCTCCTGGTGAGCAGACCTGATACTTCACTTTTCCATTAGAAAGGAAAACCTCAGCCAATTCAAGTTTCTCTGAAGTAAGACTAGTGCTGTCCATTGTCTTGCTGAGTACCTTCAGAGCAAGCTGAACGGCCTCTTCCCTTGTAATTTCATCTTTGTAGTCCTGCTTAAGCATCGATTGAGCTGCCTGATTGTTTGATCCAATTGCTGCAGCCTTCCAACCGCTGTAATTCCCACTTGGGTCACTCATGTAGAGCTGGAACCCATAATTTTTATCCCAACCTGCAAAAAGGAAAGAGACACCAAATGGACGGAGCCCACCAAACTGAGTGTAGCCTTGCTTGGTGTCGCACAAAGACTGAACTAGCTGTTCAACTGGCATTGGTTCTTGATAAGCATAGGTATATCGCTGAGCTTGGACTCTGGCAGTGTTAATAAGGATGTTGGCATCAGACATAATTCCAGCCACAGCACATGCGACATGGTCATCAATCTTGTACATCTTCTCTGTGGATGCTGAGGTCTGTAGGAGCTTGGAAGTCACTTTCTTTTCTCCAACCAACACAACCCCATCTTTGGACAATATTCCTATGGCACTTCCTGCATTCCCAATGGCCTCCATCGCATATTCTACCTGATAGAGGCGGCCTTCAGGAGAGAAGATTGTTGTACGACTGTCATACCTTCGAGACATTTTGTATACTGCAGTGGTTATATTTCAATGATTAGATCATATTCCCAGGAATTTATAAAATATATTGAAGGCCTGCAGTAATATGGACAGTTGGACACCAGAAATCAGAATAACTATCAGTGATAAAGTTCGAGTAACAATATATTGTAGAACCAGAATCCTATGAACATTATATTGTCCATCATCATAGGCAATTTTAATGTCCCGAAAACTTTTTCCTGCAACTTAAGAGAACTCATAATTTGGACCACGGAATGGATACTATTTCCTTGGAATGAAAGCTTGTTATGTGCAATAAATATATGGATCGATTGGTGAATCATGTAAAACCAAAATAATACAATAGAATAATGCCAATTAAGTACTTGGTCAATGGTAATGGATGTTAAGAGTACATTTTTTTTATCACTTCCAACAGAGCATATGAATGGTCATTAAAATTTAGAGCAAGAGGTCACAAGTTTTGTACTCTCGCCCCAGCTAGTGAACTATTTTGACTCATTGAAACAGTATGATTATATCTTAGACAACAGGTTCAGAATATCTCTATTTTTCATTGATAAGCCAAAATCGCACTAAACAAACTAAATAGAGATAATAAATAAGCTTCTGGAATATAATTTTAATATATATAAGTTTCAATTGTATTTATTTCTTAAAAACATTGACTACAAGATCAGTTCGCAGGAACAAGGCTTAGCATATAACATGGTTTCCCCAGTCTTACATTTTCAGCGTAAAGAAGAGAGAGAGAGAGAGAGAGAGAGAGAGAGAGAGAGAGAGAGAGAGAGAATCCCTTAGAACAGATAGAAAAACAAGATGGACGTCTTATAAAACAAGAACCTTCTACCTGTTTATTGAAGGCTGTAGCAGAATAGGTCAAAGTTTTAGAATATAGCCATGGAGAATAAGAAGCTTCGTGTAGATATCAGATAAGCTATCAATTATACACAGCTCTAGCATTACATGTTACCATGCATGATTCAATGGTATTGACTTGAAATATTTCAACAAAAATAATTAAAATAACATAACTTATGTATACACATCTTTAGTGAAGCGCATGAAATATAAATTAAAATGTAGGTATTACAAGCCCTCCAGAGGCACCCATGACATTAACAGTACATGGTGATAATTTGATATGAATCACCATTTCATGTTACCAGTCCAGAGGCAAACGAGACATGCAAGAAAGTAATTGATTGCCTAAAAAATATCGCAACAAAAGAAATTTCAACTATTCTAACTGATAAACACTTTTACCCTAAAAGTACGCATAGCTTCAATTTAACTGATAATGCCTGTGGAAATTAGATGCATAGGCCATGATACAAACACGTGCCTAAAATACTCGTTTGAGGTAGACTGAACCAGGTTGCTTCAGCAAAATGGGTAAAGAGAGGACTGATTGGCAGGGGAGCAGAGTTACAGTGACTTCAGTAATGGCTTTTTGCTTACACAACGAAAATTTATAGTAAGAAAATGTAAAAAGGGAGAAGATTTCTGTACCAGATTACAAGAAAATACAAGTTCAAATACCATAATCAAAACCAGACTACCCTGTATGTATATATTCTATGCAACATATCATCTTGGTACACCTCTTTTGCATATAGGACCATACACGGGGAGGCACATACAAAGATAGCTGGTTGCTGGGGAAAATGAATACGGATGACTTTTCCACATAAACATTAAGGAAATGACAACTGAATTTTTATGTATATTTGTATATGTATATGTATTTATGTATGTGTGTGTGTCATGTGCGTGTTTCTTCTCTCCACCTTCTCACCCCACTCCCTCTCCAAGTTTCAAGTTTTCAATTTCTAAAATGACAGCATATATGTCCTTTCTAGTATTATATAAAACCAGTGGATTTTAAAAGTTGAGCAAAAAAGCTGCACTATTCTTGCCTGAAACAAGTTGGGCCTAAGAATTTGGATAGAAGCATTTTCATTCAAATATGAGTTAATACTTGTAACAATTTCAATAGTAAAGTCATAATTCCACTACCCCAAACACAATGCAAGGAATTTTTACACCCAAATATCGAATACCGACAGAGTTTAAAATTAATCTCATTATTTTTTAGGGTCAAACCATAAATTTAGATTCGAAAATGATAAAAACATAAACTTCTAACCTAAAACTATAAACCTCAAGCAGAATAAAAACCCCAAGCCCCCCTCATTCGTAGGTTAATTAGTTCAGTTTGCTGCACCCTAAATTAAAATTTTGAAAATCCATTTACAAAGAAAAGATTTTGTTCATGGAATCAACCAAGTTATTAAGGAACTATATAGAGAATCAACAGAAATAACACAGAGAGAGTACCTGATTGAAGATCTGAAGAGTAGGTTTCGGAAAAGTGGAGCGTTGTGTCTTGGGAGTATATGGCAGAAGACTTATTTGATGAGGTATTTTCTTTTCTTTTTGTCCAAGCTAGGTTCCTCTTTATCAAATTAATTTTCTTCACCCCCACATTAATTCAAATATTTCATTTCATTTCCTTTTTCTTTTTCTTTTTTTTTTTGTTAACAATGAGTGTGACTTTCAATATAAGTTCTTGTTAACAATGAGTTTGACTTTCAATATAAGTGCTTGTTTGGAATATCTTAAAAAATTGTTAGTAAAATGAGGTTTAAGATCCATAATTTTTCAACCACATATTTCATTGACTTTTATTATAATATGCAATTTTTTTTAAATAATATTATTTGCAGTTATTCACAATCAACATAAGTAACATACATGTGACGATTAGTGATTTGATATATGAGGAATAAAAAACTCCGACATTAATACATAAAATCACAAACAGTCATGTAAGACGTTACATAGGATGACTACCGTAATAAGCGATTATGAATAGCATTAATCTTTTTTTTTTTTTTTTTATCAAAAGCTTCGTAAAATAACTCATTAGTCAGTCAATTAATTTATTAACAATCTCAATTTGTATAGACCAGTAATTTACGTGTTTGTATTTTTAAATAAATAGTCACGTAATTACATCGTGAGTATAACATTCTTAAAGATTTACCAATGTACGACATTCATTTATTTACAATTCCACAACAACGACAAGAGATGAAAAACAAAATTGCATTCTCTAACGACTAAGATGAGAAAGTGGGCAAAACTAGATTTGAAACACAAAGTGACATCTTTAATAAGCCCTTAGATGCATTTAAAGTATATTTATATTGCTTTCAAATACAATTATATAAAAAACATTTATGACTTGTTTGATAAGACAGATTATATAGAAAATATTAATGAGAAATATAGAACTAAAATCTTGTCTATTATACAAAGAGAAATGCTCTTGCCCATGGATCAGCGCTCTTCCTTTGGCTTAATTGTCATAGCATGACTGTTTCTCTTCGTAGGTTTGCATGCATTGATTGATTGATTTATTTAGGTGTTATTAAGGTTGGGTTTGATAAGTATATTTTAGTGGAAATTACACTAGATGTCAAATTCTAGGTTTATATTTACAAAAATGTCATATTTTTAAAGTCATTGCAAATTTGGCAATTTGTGACAATTTTGAACAATTTTGCCCCTCTGCATAATTTGAATACCTTACATGTTTTCCATTAAATGAGCTGATATGACTAGATAAAAGGTTGTACAAAAATTGTGTCAGGGTAGTAATTGACGAGTTGTGGGAATAAAAAAGAAGAAGAAGAAGAAGAAGAAGGTGGTGAAAGCCAAACATACTCAAACGCAGATTCGCCTCTCATCGAAATCGCCTACCCTCTCTCACTGGAATCGCCGACCTCCCTCCCAGCCGTCAACAACCACCTAGATGACCTTCACCGCCGTCGATGAAGTCACCCCTTTGTCATTAGAATCGGCCGAAACCGAGCACAACGTCGAGGCCCGGTGCATGCTAGTTTCAACTGCGAGAAGAACTAGAGAAAGGCGAAGGTAAATCCACCCATCTTCTGACTTCTTTCTTAGCCATCCACACATCCATCGCCAGAAAGTGGTGATAAGATGGTCGGACTTTCTGGCCCTGAGTATTGTATACTTTAATAACCTATTTGTTTTCCACTTTCTGTAGCTTAAAGGTTCAAAGTTATTACTATTAGATTTAGGGTTTATGGTAAAAAAAAAAAAATAAGGATATCTTTTACATCGAATAGTGGCTATTGTTTGTGCTATTTCTCTAATTTAGGATCAATTGGCGTATCTCATTGTTTGCAACCCAACGTACATGTTTCTTTGAAAAGATCTAGAATATACTTCCTTTGAGAGGATTTTTTACTCGATCTTGTCATTTCAATTCCAAAAAAAATATCTAAAGTTCCTAAATTTTAGTATCAAACTCTCTATCCAACATCCCCTTTAGTCTTCTTATTTCATTAATATCATTTTCAGCGACACTACTTTAGGAAATCTTTCAAACCAAGCTCAGGGTGACTATTTTAGCCAGTACAATGACTTCTTTAGTTTGTACAATTTCTCCATATACACTTCCTAAAATTCTTGATCACCATAACATCAAGCTGTTAAGAAGCCAATCCAAATTATTCACGAGGGAAAAAATGAATTCTTATTGAATTCAAATTTGTGAGTAGAGAAAAAATTTCGTGTTAGCAACTTTCATAAATTGTGCAAACCCCTTATCTACAAGTCTTTCCTTATATTTGTCAACTATAATATGAGCTTTATGCTTTATAGTAAATACTCATTTAAAACTAGCTGGCTTCCCTTGTGGAAGGTGTTGACTTGTCTTGTATCATTCTTTTCAATGTCCTCATACATCATGAAAAGGTACTTTTCTGTTGGACTTAGTAGAGTATCCTGTATATTTCTTGAAACATAATCACATGAAGATAGATTTGTAGTAATGCTCTAAAGGAAGAAGTCAATTTGTGATAGGAAACAAATTTGGAAATAGGATGCAAAGTTCAGGGATTACCTAGAATTTTTTTAGTATTTTTATACTCCGTTCTAATTATTGGTATTGTTGAGGAGAATTTGCATTATTCCTTCTCTAATAAACCTTTAGTTCTCAATTTTTATCTTGTACACACTTGAGAGGAGCTATTTAGAACTGGAGAAGAAGGTGGAGGATCTTTAAAAATGTCTAGAGAATCATTTGGTATAGTATGAGGAACATTCGACACAAAAACACCAAGAATAGAAACTATTAATTGCACATCAAAAATATGAGAAGATTTAGGATTACTTGGAAGTGGGGACTCAATATTAGGATGAGAAGAAAAAGAAGTTAAAAAGGAATTTTTAATATCTTGATTTTCAATGAAGAGAAGTTTTGATAAAGGAAAGAGTAATCTAAAGAAGGTAAATTTCATGGATACAATAGTTTTTTGTTTTAGAAGATGATAATATTTCTAACATTTTTGAGTGAAGAATATCCCAAAAAACACACCTAAAAGCCTTCAGTATGGTTATGTATGTGAACAAAATTTTGATAATTTTAGAAAGAAAATGAAATTATCCTTCACATTTGAAAATTTTGATTTGAATATGTTGCAACAATTGAATGAATTGGAATGGATTTTTCTTTCGCTCTTCAAAACAGATAGGGCTGCTATCGAGAGAGATTTTTTAGATCTATTTTCTTCCCTGTCAATCAAAGCCAAACTCATTAAATTAAAAGGTAATATTGTCCTTGATTTTACTGCTCTCTTCTCTCTTTTGTTAATTTAGGATTGCGGCATGAAACTTGAAAATTTTTGGTTTCTTTGAGTTATATGTTCTGCGAATGGGCGCAATCGAATCTCATTAGAAATTTGAAGCTACACTTGTTCGTGGCACACAAGATGTGATGTTGGATAGACCCCATATTCACAATTTTTGGCATTACAATCTTTACGACTATGATTTTGTGTATAGATATTATTATTTAGGGAAGGGATTTTACTCAATTGTCTACTGTTCACATGTGTATTAGAGGAGAAATTTATATAATTGTGTTGTCATGTTATAAGTATTTTGGTTTAAATATTTTTTCTTTCTAAGAGGTAAATGTATACAAAGTTGGATTAAATATAAAATCAAATAAGAAATGGATGAAATATTCTAAATGTTGAGCTGGACTGGGTTGACTTATGAATAATCTATGCAAATCTTACAAAAGTATACAAGGTTGAAGCTAAAGTTTGGATGGACTTTGAATAAAACTTTTAAACAAACTAAGAAACTATATATGAAATATCGATATGGACACGTTTATAGTATTTCGAGAGTAGTTTCGAACGAGTTGGGACCATCCTTTGAATCCTAATTTATCTAACATAAACACTTCTTGTGGATTTGAAAATTTTGATTTCCTCAAAATGAGGACTATGAATGTGAAGCACCATATTGAATATGGAGTAACATGTTTTATGTCTCCATTTGACTAGTTTAGGTTGGGAAGCAATGCCTTTCCTGTATTCCTGATCAATGCACATGAGGGCTTTGCCTCTAGTCGAAAATTGCAACAAGGCCTCATTTTTGGCCGTTTATTTTTTTATTAGACGAATTGAAAGGGAAAAGGACATTTTATGTACGAACTCTCAACTTGCCTATTTGTTCCTCTGTCAGGGTGTTCCGGTCGGACTATACTTGGCACTAACTATTGTTTTATAGAACATCGCAGAGGTATTTTCCCAATATCGAATTATAGTGTTCTACTGTTGATGTCGTGGTTTTTAACATGTCCCCGTTTCAACATGATGTCGATTTTTAATTATGTCATGACATTCGTCAAATAGTTAAGGTGTATGATATTGTGTCCTACCTACTATGACCCCTAAAATTATTTCGTTGCAATCACTTGCACACGTCCTTCACTGTTTCATATTGAGTCTCCATTTATGATCACTTATTTTAAATTGTTTCCTATCTTTCATAATAAGTATGGTAACTCGAATGGCTACAAATCTATAGGTCCTTTTGATTTTTTCCATATCTTCTACTTCTATGTTAGTACTGATCATCATAGTGTTGCTGACATTTCCCAACCCTCTTTCATGGTGGATCTTCTGTTCAAGGGAACATTAATTGATGCCAGTTTCTAATTTTGGTCGTGTCATCGTCGTCCAGACTTACTGATAGCCATTCTATTCGAAGCCTCCCATTTCTCTATATCAGGTAAGATTCTAACACTGTCTTTCATTTTCAAGTGGGTTAGACATGTTTTTTTTTTTATATGTATCTTGCGTTAAAACCTATGCTTGTATGGTGACATATGCATAAATACGATTGCCTATCTTTCCAGTTTCCAGCATGCATGTGTGCCTTTACACATCCTCCGTTTTTACTTCTGAAACATACTGCTATGTGACAGTACATGATATGTTGAACATGCACCCCTTCGCGTGCTTTCCAACTCCTAGTGAACTGTCAACCCTGACACTTGACGCTCTATTTTTCTCGACAGTTACCCAATCATCCGTGTTTGGACATCA